CCGATCGCGCGCGGCGGCTGCGTTTTGCGCGCTTCTTTTGTGCCAGACGCCGTGCTGAGTGTTTACACGGAGCGGTGATGCGGGCACCGAGCGGGCGCAGCATCCCCGGGTGGCTGGTCGTGGACAGCACAGATTTGGGCGTCTCACCCCGCATCACATCTGGCCCTGCAACCATCCCCGTGTGGTGACCTTGGTGGGGAGGTGGCCGCTTCCCTTTTTGAAGCCTCATTCATCGACTTTGAACGCTGCTGACCATTAGACCTACCTTTTTGACGTCGGGAAATGCGATGATGTACGAGAAACACGCACACAGGCCCTGGCTTTTAAGAGGCGGGCCATCAATGTGAACTGTCATTGTCACCGTTATTATTATTGTTGTTGCTACCACTGACCTCATTTCGGAGAGGAGGAAGTGGAGACACTGCCTTCGTGTCGCCACGCCAAGGTCACAGCATTTGAGTGCGTTCATGATTAGTGGAGATTTGAACCCGGTCGGTCGCCAAGGCCCCTCTCCCACTAGACCATAATGCCGTCTCTGTCTTCCAAGGCCGCCTTTGAGTCTCCGTTTTAGCTAAGGGGGTGTTTCTCTCCTTGTAGGTGGCCCTCCCTTATGAAACACTACAGCCCCACCGACTACGTCAATTGGCTGGAGGAATATAAAGTTCGGCAAAAAGCTGGGTTAGAAGCCCGGAAGATTGTAGCCTCGTTCTCAAAGAGGTTCTTTTCAGAGCACGTAAGGATTTGTTGATGTCGCTAGCAGCGTTGGCCTGCTGGTGGTGTGTGCGCCTCGGTCTGTAGGCATTAGCTCATCCAGCTCTTGTTGATATCCCCCTTTTCGTTGCTCTCACAATCCCTTACTCACTTCCATGGCTGCAAGTCATTGTGTCCTTTCCCTCCCATCCAGCAACACGAAGCCATTTGTCCCTGCCAGCTTTACTTTTCTAAAGCCAGAGAGAGAATGGGGGTGGAGGGAGTAGGGGGAGACTGCAGTACAATGTCGGGGGAATCCAGATCAGCATTATTTCTCTTCGTGTAGCTTAAATGTGTTTTCCCAGAAGGGTTGATGAAATTGATGTGATTCTTCTCTCTGGCTTTGCAGGTCTACCCAGTAGTAGTGTTATTTGTTTAGGTAGCAAAGGATGGAAAGCTACCTATAAATCAGAATTATTGCTTCCTCAAATCAAATCGTCTTGCATTCATCATCCCTGAAAAGTTTTTTTTTTTTTTAATTTCTGAAATGCGTGTTTTTTGGTCCCCCCTCCCTTCCCCAAAATGTCTCAAAAATTTTCTGTATCCATTCCAGTGTCTTTAACTTTTTGCAGCTTTAGAGAATAGTCCACTCTAATCTTAATTGATCAAACTATTATTAGATTTTTATTTCTGATTGGGGAGTCTACAAACAGAGATGGTCATATTTATTTTGTCTCTGGTTTACTGAAGGCTAGTTGCTGAAGATTACTTAGGATTTACTAATTTTAACTACTTAGCGGAGTTTATACATTTGAAATGTTTTCAGGATAGTTCAAGTTTTGAAAGAGAAAATTTGAACTTTGAACAAGTTTAAACTTATTCCCCTGTGGGGGAAAAACTGACATTCCCTGAGAAGATTTCATTTTTAGAGATATTTCTTAATATTAGAATGAATAGAATTTGTATTCTATTTTGGAGAAGCTGTATCCTGGTTAATTCACAGATAGTGAATCCAGGTTTAGATGTATTTGTGCACACCGGTATTTTTGGCACGGGGCCTGTTTGATGCAGTTGGTTATGGGCTACTGGTTTGCAACCTCTGCTTCTAGTCCAGCAGGTTTTGTGTGCATTTTTAACAGTCTGTGCCTTTGTCTAATAATGATGGATTGTTGTGCACCCTGCACCCCTTAGCTCCCTCTTTTCCTATACCACTACTCAATTAGAAGTATGTCAGGGACTTTGACCACAGCTGGAGCAAACTTATCATTGAACTGGGGATGGGTGATTGCTTTGGCTCAAGACCCTGTGTCCGTGTTCTTGGAATTTGCACAGGTTGACCTGAAACGTCCAGGCTGCTTTCAGAAAGAGAAGTGGGAGGAGCCAATAGCCTTTAAAACCAAGAGGGTCTTAAAGCTCTTTGTACTACCTTCTCTGCTTCCAGAGTAGAAACCATACCCAGAACGTTAAAGGGGTAACTACCACGCCAGGCTCAGGCCCTCCTCTGTGCAATGTAAATACATTATGTGAAATGGCTGTTGTGAATGGGGAGCTTTTGTAGTCTTAGCCCTTGTTTGAGAGCTATTTTTCTTCACCATAGAACACTGAATTAGCAGTTTCAGAAATTCCAGTGCATGAAAAGGTAATTAATTTAAAGCAATAAGCCAATCTTAACAAATGATTGTTGCTTTCTATCTCTGGCAGATAGTGTAAGGCAGTAGAGAATAGCTGCTGTTACCACCATTCATGGACTCAGATTTGTGTACGAGTGACAGCTACTTCATACTCATGATTGAGGACGCCTTTTGTGTGTCTTCTTCATAGGTTCCCTGTAACGGCTTCAGTGACATTGAAAACCTTGAGGGACCAGAGATATTTTTTGAGGATGAACTGGTTTGCATCCTAAACATGGAAGGAAGGTAAGCTGTAGCTTTCAGAGGGAATATTTTTTTTAACAGTAATAACTCCAGAATAAATTGCTGTAATCTGTTTGTGACTGAACCCTGTTTTGTAAGTGTGTTTCCAAATATTTCATGTTTTTCCATAGATAGTTTAAAAATTTCTGTGCTTATCAGGTTAATGCCCCAAGATAATTGATACACAGTCAGCTGTCTGTATCCACAAGTTCTGCATGCATGGGTTCAACCAATCTTGGATCAAAAATACTTGGAAAGGGCCAGGGATGTAGCTCAGCAGCACAGCGCCTGGCTGGCAAGTATGAGGCCCTGAGTTTGACTCCTAGTACCCCCAAAAAAATTTTTTTTCTGGAAATAAACTGTCCATACTGAACATGTATAGACATTTCTTTCCTGTCATGGTTCCCTAAATGGTGTCCCTTACATAGCATTTGCATTGGATGCGGTATCAGAAGTAATCTAAAGGTGATTAAAAGTATATGGGAGGGGGCTTATAGGTCATGTACAAATATCATGCCATTTTACATAAGGGGTTTGAGCACCTGCGGATTTTGGCATTGAGGGGAGCTAGAACTAATCCCCTCAAGGATACCAAGGGACAAATGCAGAAAGAAATCTCATCAAATCCTTTGGGAAGAAAAGGAATTAACGTTGAGCCGTACTACTATACTGTGGGCACTTTCGTCTGTTAGGAAATCTTTTGGAATTATAAATTTTCCTTCCTTTGTAGGCACCTCTCCACCTGCCACAATCAAATATTCCTGTCATGAATTGTATTGCTTTTTGTTTTTAATAATCTCTTATTTACAATTCCTGAGTTGTAATAAATAATCTTATCTTGAACCACTGTAGCTATATGACCAAGCTTTTTTTTTTTTAATCCCCCAATTAGTACACTGTGTTGCTAAACTACTTTCCTGATTATGAGTCCATCCAGGCTTGGTAGCGCTTACCTGTAATCCCAGCTGAGGGAAGTAGGATGAGAGTTTGAGCGCAGCCTGAGCAATTTAGCCACTTAGCAAGACCTTGTCTCAAAAGAAAAAAACATTTTTAAAGGGCTGGGGTTGTAATTCCGTGTGAAGGGCTTGGATTCAATCACCAGTATGGGGAAAAAAAAAGAGAGAAAAGTCTGTTATCTCTCCCTTGTTTAGATTTTTGTGTGGTAGGTGGTGCTGGAGATTTTAAAAACTTAGAGACAGGGTCTCACTAAGTTGCCCGGGCTGAGCAAACTGAACGATCCTCCTGCCTCAGTGTTTGAAGCCTTAAAGTTTCGTTCTTCTTCTTTTTTTTTTTTTTTAATACATTATCATTTCTGCTGTGAAAGTTAATTTTCAGTTAACCTTTAAGATTAGTTGGCTTTTGGCCTTATTTGCCTGTGGTAAAGATTTTCTGCTCTAAAAGTTTTTAAACTTCACTAGTGATGGAAGATAAGAATGCTAGCTTAGCATCTGAAGAAAAATCATTTTGAAATATCTCGCAAACAAGGTCTAAAATGTTTGTTGCTCTGAAGAGGATTTGAGAGGTAAATCTTCCTTAGCAGAACAACTGTGGGAGAGGGTAAGATGTGTCACTATTCTAGGCCTTGGATGAGTTCAGATGTAGGGGTCACTTTCCTGTTTCTATTTTGGTTTATCTATAAATGAATTAAGTATGATCTAATAGTATTGCACAGCCTTAAAAATAAAAGCTGACTTGTGCTTTTTACTTGTGTACATATATACTTTTAAATACATAGATGTGATGTCTTATGTATCTTATTGGTTGTTTAATGAAGACTTTAGTTTTTCCTTATTTATGCTGTGTCCCCTTCCTCTCCACTGCCTCCTTTCACACTGGTCTTCCCTGTCCCCGCCCTACACCTTTTGATAATAACTTGGTAGGGCCAGGGATTTAGCTTAGTTGTTCTTCCACCTGCCTCGAAAGCACAAGGACCTGAATTCGATCCCTGGTACCAAAAAATAAAATAAATAAATAAATAACCTCTGGTATCCTTCTGTGATAACAGAAAACAGTCATATCTGTGGGGAAGGGAAAAGTGGGATCAATAGACACTTTTTTTTTCTCAATCAACAGTGCCTTAGGGAAATTAATCAACTGATAAAAGATAAGTTCAGAGTCAGGGATGTAGCTGAGTGGTAGACCACTTGCCTTAATATATATGAGGCCCTGTTTCAATCCCCATTACCAAGAAAAGAAATCACTTTTGTTAATGGCTACCTACCACAGCGTATATACCACAGTTTATTTAACCATTCCTGTATAGACAGGCAGCTACTTTCTTTTTTGTTTTGTGTCCTGGTGAAGATTAATGTTTGTAGTAGTTTTATTTCTAAGCCATAAATTCTTGGGATGAGTTTCCTAGATCAGACTATAGAATATTATTGAAAAACATAAAATAAGAGAGATTATCTCCTTGAATGCAAAGTTTTGTATAATGAAACTATTAGTTCTCCCCAAATTAATATGTCTTTAATTTAATGCCATTCTGACTAGAATCCAAACAAAGCTTTGGGAGAGGGGAATTTCTAGTTGGATAATACTGTCATAAAATACATACAGAATAATAAAGGCTAGGAGAAAAAAATGTTTAAATAGTCATAATGGGAAACAGTATCATGAGATATTGAAACATATTATAAAGCTACTTATAATCAAAACAATATAATGTTTAAATAAAAACAGGTAAAATGTGACCATCAGTAATAAAGTACAATTCAGAAATATGGGCTAAAATAAAAGATAATGTATTAAAAATGAGGGGAAAAGGTGGCTTATTTAGTAAATGGTACTGCATGTACTGAATGTTCATCTGGAAGAAAGTAAAACCTACATCTTACAAAAAAAAAAAAATCTCAATAGATTAAACAATTTCCTGGTGTGGTGGTACACACCTGTAATCCCAGCACTCAAGAGGCTGAGGCAGGAGGGAGATTGTGGTAAGTTCAAGGTCAGCCTGGGCTACATAATGAGTTTAAGACCAGCCTGAAATAATAGCAAGACCCTGTCTCAAAAAACCAAAAAGGAAAAACAAAAAAAAAGATTAAACAACTGACATTTTTTTAAAGTTCACATTAAAAATCCCTCAAAGAAATAAAAGATATTTAGGGAGAGCTCCTTAACCATTGTGACCAATAATGTGGAAACAGTGCAAGAACACAGACATGATTATGTGACTGAAAAAAAATTAACTTCTGCTTGACCAAAGAAATGATAAACAAAGTCAAACAGCCCTAGGAATTTCCAAAAATACATTGAAAAATGTACAAAGGTCAGGAGAAAAAGTTTACAGAAGACCAAGTCCAAATGGCTGATGATAGAGTAAACAACTTTGAATTCACTATTCAAAGAAATGTTAAATAAAATAACTGAAATGTTGCCTTTTTTATTATCACACTGATAAAAAGGCCAAAAATATGTAATCAGTAAAAACAGGTATTGTTACATTCTTTTAAAAAATCAGTATCATAGATATGTTGCCCTCTGGCCCAGCACATATATTTTGATCCTAAAATAGAGTTGTTTTTAAATGAAAGGGAACAGGGGCTGTGGGGATTTAGCTCAGTGGTTCAGCTGCCTGCCTTGCAAGCGCAAGGATCCGAGTTCAATCCCTGGTACCAAAAAAAAAGAAAGGGAATAGTTCACATTTTAAAACATTTTGGGATGCCAGTTTTCATGGAGGACATAATTTGTATTCATTCCTGGCAAATGCATACAAGGGAGAGGGATAGTTTCCAGAAGTGCTAACGCACCAGTCCCTGGACATCTGGATAACTTATGTTGATGGTAGTCTGTGTAGTCTTTAAAAGCAGACCTACAATAAAGACTTGAAACGACATATTACAAAACATATACTCTACCTGAGGAAACTGACCCAGAATGACCAATATTGAGATATATTACAGCAAAATGACTCGATTTTACACAGAAAAGTCCTTTGGGCATCCAAGCCCCCCTCCCCCAAAAAGTCATTTTTAAGGAAAAGGAAATCAGAATGTATCATCAGACTTTTCAGCAGTAATGCTTTTTGCCAAAGGAAAAAAAGATAGTCAAAGATTCAAAGAAAATGTCAGCCAAGGATTTTTATATCCAGCCAAACTGACTTCCAAATGTAAAGGCTGCAGACAAACTTCTCAACTTGGAAGAACTTAAGAGACTTTTGGGCCCTTCCCGACAAATCTGCTGGAAGATGAGCATCAAACTCTCAAAAACCACCAGAGTACACAGACATAGAACTGGTGGTAATCATTAAGTATGCGTTTACAGTATCTGCAAAATCAAATTGAAACGAGGGCCAGCCAGAGGAAGAAAGCATTGCCTGTGTAATGGATATAAACCCTACCAGTGCAGCTGCTTACAAACTAATGCATAGATAGTGACAGTGGGAAAGCATATATGCAGTATATTGCAGTTTTCACTCAGAACTGAGGGAATATTGGTATTCTGAGGCTGGTGTGTGTGTGTGTGAGAGATGTGCAATAAAGCAAGTGAAGACGGGCATGGTGGTACATGCCTGTAATCCCAGCGTACGGGAGGCCTGAGCTATGTAGGGTGTTCAAGGATAACCTGAAATACATAGTAAGACTCCATCCCAGAAAACAACAACAGAATTTTGAAATGTTAATAACTGTATTATTCTATCATCTCAGGTATCCTAAAGAAGCAAAATTCTAATAAAATATAGATGGAAGAAGGTCAAAGTCATATACTTCAGAATTTGAATTAGATGTGCCAGTACAACTGATGGGGTATTTCCCATTGAATATATGTAGATGTGTGTATTTTACATTCAAATATATGTAGATGTGTATAGATCTGTGTGTACATACAGACCCCGGGACTTGCTCTAGAAGTAGCCAACACAATAGAAATGGTCCTCCCTGGTACCCAGGTTGTGATCTTTAGATACCCTTTCCCACAAGAAGAAGCCAGGGTTATAACCAATTATATCCAGTGTCTTAGTGGTTGCCCTTTTTTGGAGAAATGGCTGGTTTTAGGCCCAATGTGGAAAATGGAAAAGATGGGCCTGGAGTATGTTGGAAGCAAGACAGTTGACAGTACCTCAGGTCAGAGTATTCAAGGCCAGCGATGATGGGGCTTCCATTAACCAAAGCTGAGACCACTGGAGCATCAATGTAGATGATAAATGGCCTGTATTGATTATGTTCAGATTATGTTTAGCTCCATTGGTTCATGATAAAAACAACACCTAATTCATCACTTTTGAAAGTAGTAATAGAAACAAATCATTGTTTTGAAAATTTATGACTAAAAAGTATGACGTGAGCATCCTGTCTTTATTACGTGTTATACCACTGATGAAAGTTGGGGGTTTTTTCCTTGCCTTTAATGGATATATTCCAATTTAAGGGGAAGAGTTGATCTAGTGAGAATGTTACCACTTTGTAACTTCTGAAGAACTAATGTACCCAAGCATTGAGAAGCAGTGGTGACTGACATCACAGACAAGGCAGTGGGTCTGACCGCCTCCTGACCAAAGACCATGCCACCTCCTGGGAAGGTGTCCTGCCAGATTGTTGGCATCAGAACCTGAGCCTGCCTCTACTTGCCAGCATGTTCATGTGGACATGGCCAGCGTATTCCAGACAGGGGAAGCCACACATGAAGCCACCCAGCCTCCTCAGCAGGTGTCTCACATGGAGACAAAGATGGCGGGGTCCCACAGATAGAGTTCAGGGCCTTGGAAACAGACTGGAACGTCCCAGCATTCACACATGGCAGGCAGTCGTGGTTGTGGAGCAAAGGGGCAAAGCACGGCACCAATGACCACAGAGGCTTGTTGGGGTACAGGCCATGGGGAGGGTCATGGGTGTCGGCAGAGTTCTGTTTCTTAGCCTGAGCAATAGATGCAACAGTGTTTGCCTCATGGTGATTCATTAAATCACTCATTTGTTTACTGGGTTTTCTTGAGGAGTGGTAGATTTTACTTCTAGGAGGTTAAAGAGCAGGTAACAGCTCTCCTTTGACCTCCCTGAAAATTGGAGTTCTTTGTTTCTTCAGGAAGTCAGCCAGATTAGCTAATCATTCTCTCTGCCCCACTTTTTATAATTCCTCTGTATATTTGGGAAGTCATAAAGAATTTCATTCCCTTGGCAAGTTTCGTTCAGCTTCTGCTCTACTGGATACTGTTCTGTGCACAGGGTCTCTATAGCAGTGAGCCGCACCTCCAAAACCCTGCCTTCATGGAGCTTGTGCCATGGTGGGGGCGAGAGGTGATACAAAAATAACACACTTACATTAGAGGATGGAAAAGGCTGTAGAGAAGCACTAGTCAGGGAAGAAAGCAAGGGAATGGTGGTAATGGATTCAAGTAGGATGGGGGAACCAGGTGTGGTGGCCCATGCCTGTGATCCAAGCGCTTGAGGCTGAGGCATGGGGATCGCTGCCAGCTTGAGTGAGCCTTGCTGGGCAACTTAGTGAGACCTTGCTTCTCAAAAGGGGCTAGGGATGCACCTTAGTGTGAAGACTCTGCGTGCCATCCCAGTAGCAAAAAAGGGAGAGTAACATCCAAATCAAAACCTAAGAAGTGAGAGAACAGACCAGGGAAGAAATATTCCAGGCAGAATGGAGCGTAGACCACTAAGGTGGTAGAGGAACAGCAGGGAGTCAGTGTGGCCAAGTGGTTGGACTGAGGTACAAATATGGGAATGGTGGTCAGAGGTAAGGGGGTAAGGGTTGAATGGAACCCAGAGCCTTTGCATTGAATGTATCCTCAACTCATTTTTTAGTTTTTTATTTTGAGACAGGATCTTACTAAGTTGCCCTGGCTGGACATGAATTTGTGATCCTCCTGCCTCAGCCTCCCAGAGTACTGGGATTACAGGCACACACCAGCAGGCCTGGCTTGAGGTCATCTTTTAGGTTCTCATTGGGAATTAGTTGGGCTTTTCTGTTGAGCAAGGTAGATGCCAGCCAGAGTGTTTAGGGCAGAGGGTTAGGGCGATGACTGACAGTTTTTACCAGTGTACCCCAGATGCCATATTGAGGATAGGATTTGGGGGGGTTAAAGCAGGAACCCAGTTAGGAGGCTGCCGTGCCACAGGCAGAAGGTGATGGCAGCTCGGCTGAATTAAGAGCAGGGTTCACGTTGTGGATCTGTGTTACAGATAGAGCTGATAGTGTTCCGAGAAGAGGCAGGGCACCCGTGACAGCGCAGAGAGCTTGGGTCGGAGAGGGTCACCCTCACCGGAATGACGGAGTGGCGCACTGGCAGTGTGCAGTGAGGCTGACTCGGGTGGGAAAAAGGTTCTGGGAGCTCCCCAGGGTCTGAGAGGGAAGTGGGGTAGCACTGGGGTATGCAGTTCTGGCGAAACCATTCGAAAATAAAGGAAGCAGATCACTGGATAATATCGGGAAGTGGGGGCGTTGGTGGCCTGGCTGAGTCATGAGTGGCAGGAAGAGCACAGCCTGAGTCCTGGGCAGTGTGGGCTCCAGAGGCCTCCCCATCTCCTGGAGCCCAACTCGCTTCTCGGGGTGCTCTTGCATCACCTTTTGCCAGAGATGCACACAGTAAATCTAACGCCAGCCCAGGACTGTTCCATAGATTTCAGCACAGTGCGCTCAGTGTTACATGACAGTCACAGAGCCCTAAACTGCGCTGTCTGCCTCTGTAAGTGCTAGAAAACTTGGAGCCAGGAGCCACTTTTATTCTTACTAAAGTGGATACATGCTATGTTAGCGTGAAGTAAGAATAAGGGTAGTGGGTTCTGAAGTCTTAAATCTTACTGACTTTTTTGTTGTTGTCGTTGTCGTTGTTGTTTTGGTTTTTGTTTTCCAGAAAAGCTTTGACCTGGAAATACTATGCAAAAAAAATTCTTTACTACCTTCGGCAACAGAAAATCCTAAATAACCTCAAGGCTTTTCTTCAGCAGCCTGATGATTATGAATCCTATCTGGAAGGTAAGTCTTTCCTATACCTGTGAACAAAGATGGTCTTTTGGTTTGTAAATCCAGTCTTTAAAAGCAGGGCTCAAAACTACCCTGAAAGTGTTGCTGGAGTTTGGAGGTTGGATTATATGGCCTGACTCAGGGAGTAGGTCTGACCCACAGAAGCTGAAAGCAAGATTTTGTTAAATCTTTAGCTGTCTGCCAAAGTGATAGTGGTTTCAAATAAAGATACATCATTGTTTCAAAGTGGGAGCATGATGTTTTAGTTTGGGGCATGAGTTCCTTGTTTTAAGCTTTAAATGATTGTTTGCAAAGTAGACATAAATGTATCAGGTTTTATCTCTGTAACCTTGAGCACATCCTGAACCCCTCTTGGAGCTCAATGAGGACAGAATGTTCTCCTGCATCAGTGTGTGCTGGTCCATGATGAGAAGTGAGGAGAAAGGAGCCGGCTGGGCAGGCACAGCATGACTTGGTGTTCTTACGAAGTTGCACAGGAACAGAATGTGACTTCAATGTTTTAAAACTATTTTAATTCCTAGACTGTTACACAAACACTCGCATAAATTGTGGTTACAAAATGCATGTTCACTTTCCTTCCACGCTCCAGTAATGTGCCTGGTCGTGTTGATTTCTTCCCCCTTTCCATTGTTCTTATCCTTATATCTCTTTCCACTGCTGTTCTCAGGCAGGCTGTCCCCACCTTTTCCAGGGATACTTGCTCTCCTGAGCATCGCTCCCTCCTTCCTGCCCCAAGTCTTTCCAGCCCCAAACCACCTCTATCCCGTGTGGAAGCTGACTTTGCCTTTTAAAATTTATTTTTCTTTTTTTTGGGGGGTGTACTGGGGATCTAAGTCAGGACCTAGCACTTGCAAGGCATGTGAGGTACCATGCCTTTTAAACTTTTTGCTTGCTTTTCAGTGCCCTCCTTAGTCTGGTCCCTGCCAGCTCCAGACCCTCCCCTGTTACTCTGCAGCCAGTGTCTGTAGTCAGCACACAGGATCCCTCTTCTAATTCCCTCTTGAAGATCCTGTTCGCCCTCCAAGTTTACCTTGGGTCTCACTTCCATCAAGTTTCAGCTATTTGCTAAGTTTATCACCCTCACAGCTACTGCAGTAGCACTTAGTAGTGACTGTCTCTCGTTTTTGTTCCAAATGTGCATTTTGTTTCTTTCGTCACTAACACTAAATTTTTATGAACCAAGTCTTAGAGTTAAGATTGATTGCTGTGTGCCCGTCAATGCCCAGTCTAGATGCTTGATAATTGTATGAAATTATCATACAGATGGAAGTGAAAAATCTGTTTTAGTTGATTAAAATAAAATGTCCCCACTATTTAGAATCTTATTATGTACATACTGCAGTTGGGAGTCATCCTGTTTTCTGTTTATGTCACAGTTAAGAAAAATACAAGATGTTTTATTTTCTGTAGATTATATTTGAAAACAGATACTTGCTTTTCATTTTTTAAACATAAAGTTTTGTTATAGTTTACACATAATTCCTCCAAATCAGTGCTGTAGGCCTTGGAAGCCATTGAAGGATTTTTATGGTTGAGTAGGTAGATATTGGTTGCAGGGTTTTGATCCTTGGTACTAGATTAGAATAATGCCAGTGCCATTGAAGAAGCCATGGAACCATAACTTTAGGATGGGGATAGACTTCAGAGAAGTTCAGTGTGAACTTCTCCAGCCCACCTACAGGGAAGCTAGAGAGCCCAACCCTGGGCTGCAGTGACACAGAAGTCTGGGGTCTGGGCCTCTTATTGCCCATTCAAATGCTTTTAGCTACTTGGAGTATTGATAGGGGAGTCCACATCCTGAGCTGGTCTGGGGTCTCTCGAATTTAAAATAATTTGAATGCTTCCCAGGTAAAAATGCCTGGAAGGTTGAGTTACCACCAAAATCCATTTACTGTTTCTCCTTGAAAGATACTTTTGAAATGTCCTGGCTTTCGTGTGAGGGCTTTTGACTGTTGTTTTGTTTTGTTTTAATAAAAGAATTATGTCATCCTGTGAGTTTTTCAGAGTTGTTGGATTTTGAACCTGTAAGACAGGGATAAGGTAGCTTGAAAAGATCTCCTTTATGGCATTTACTTCTCTTTGTAATGGAATATGGGAATATACCACATGTCATGCAGTATTGTTTTTGTTTTTTGACGTTGCTTTGTTTTGTTTAGTTTGTCCATGACCTCTAGGAGACATTTGGTTATTTAAAAAATAAAAAGAAAGAAATCGTGGAGCATAACCCCCTTTGTTGTGAAAATGTCTGTTCTTCCTCCTCAGCTTGTTCATAGTGGGGCCTGGCACCCAAGGGAGGAAGCTCGTCTGCTGGGACAATGTGAAAAGCCATAGCCCAGGGGGTCAGGTCAAATGACAAGCTAGTGAGAGTTGGTAGAAAGGAGAATTATTTTGTGATTCTTGTCCATCTGCAGGAGCCGTCTATATCGACCAGTACTGCAACCCTCTCTCTGACATCAGCCTCAAGGACATCCAGGCCCAGATTGACAGCATCGTGGAGCTTGTTTGCAAAACCCTCCGGGGTATAAACAGTCGCCATCCCAGCTTGGCCTTCAAGGCAGGTGTGGAATTGCTTTGGATCTAGCTGTATTTGCAAAAGAAAACTAGAACTAGAGGAGTTAGTTAATTGGGAATTCAGCAAAGCAGACCTATTGTCTGACAGAAATTGATAAGTGACACATAAAACCCTAAATATATCCCCTCTTCTGCTCTGCAGATTGACAGCACTTGGTTATGAAGCCATTTCTAATCTTTGCATGTTATGGGCTGGCAGGGGCACGGGTCAGAACCTGGTCTGTGCTTGTGTTCCAGAGTAGATCTCTGTTTCAGGCGAATCCTCCATGATAATGGAAATAGAACTCCAGAGCCAGGTGCTGGATGCTATGAACTATGTTCTTTATGACCAGCTGAAGTTCAAGGGGAATCGAATGGATTACTATAACGCTCTGAATTTATATATGCATCAGGTAAATATGGGTAGTAATAGTTTAAAACAAAGTTGACCTTCCATTACAGTGTATTGTACTGTATCCACATAGTTAACCCACTGTGGATCAGAGCTATTTGAAAAAAGTAGTAATTGTGTTTTTACTGATCATGTGTAGACTTTTTTGTTGTCGTATCCTTATTACCTAAATAACAACTATTTACATAGCCTTTGTACTATAATCTCGAGATGATTTAAGGGGTATGGCTTCATATAGCTATTGTGTGGCTGTGTGCTGCTTTCATTTTGACCACGTCTCACACACAGGATGGCAGGCTTTTCCTGTAAAGGGCCAGGCAGTCCATTTCCTGAGCTTCTTGGGCCATGCAGTTCTGTCCTTAACAGTGTGGAGGAGGCACAGCCAGTACCAAAGGAGATGAGCATGGCTGTGTTCTAACCTAAGTTTATATATGGGCTTTGGAATTTGAATCTCGTGTTATTTTTGTGTCACAAATTAGTATTCTTTGTTTTTTTCAAACATTAAAAAAAATTTTTAAACTCTTCTTATGCCAACTGTACAGAAATTATGAGTGGACTAGATTTGTCTCTTGTCACAAATAAGAAAAATATTCATCAGGTTAAGCCTCAAAAATTAGTGTCAGCCCGAGGCAGGCTGTGTGCCTAATGAGACTGTTTATTGAACGCATGAGCAAGTATGGTTTCTCTGAACCCAAAGCATTTTTTGTCCTTAAGGTTTTGATCCGCAGAACAGGAATTCCAATCAGCATGTCGCTGCTGTATTTGACGATTGCTCGGCAGCTGGGAGTCCCCCTGGAGCCCGTCAACTTCCCAAGTCACTTCTTGCTGAGGTGGTGCCAAGGCGCGGAAGGGTAAGCCGTCTCTGACACCTGGCCATGGATGTGAGGAGTCAGTCCTGCTCTGTGGACAGGAAGCCGGGCATCAGCATTACATGGGGTGTGACCAGGCAGGTTAAAACAGGACCGAGGTGGTGAGGAGCTGTTTTACTTCTTGACTGGATCGGTGTCACTGTTCCAGTTGTGGCATTGTATTGTAGCCGTACAAGATGCTACCATCAAGGGAGAGTGACTCAAGGTTTCTCTGGATCCTTCTGTAGTTTTTGCCACCTGCATGTGAATCTGAGGTATCATTTTTCCTTCTTGGGCTGCAGAAGGATCATTTGAGTGATCCTGGGAGTTTGAAACCAACCTGGGCAACACAGCAGGACCCTATCTTAAAACAAAAAGTACCTGCTGAGCTGCAGCCCTTCCAGCCCTTGCTCTAATTGCTTTCCACTCCTACCTTTGGTCTCTCTTTTCTTGCCCTGCATCAAGACCATATTGTGTCCATTACTGTAACTTTATAATTCGTCCTGCTGCTTAGTAGGATGAGACCTCATGAGGTCTTTAAAATTGCCTTGGCTTTTCTTAGCTTTTGCTCTTCTATACAGGTTGAGAATCTTAATCAGGTTCCTTAAAAATCCCACAAGGATGTTGATTAACTCACAGGTTTCTGGATTACTAAGGGCACTGTTGCAGTGTTTCACTGTTGGGTCTTTGGAACCTGTGAATGTGGCCTGTCCATTCACACAGGTCCTCATGGTGTGCTTGGAAAGATTTACTTGATGTTTCTTCTCAGGTACCTTACATTTTTTTATGCTATTATAAATGGTAATTCTTAATATCAGTTCCCTGAATATTAATAATATACAGAAAAGTGGCTGATAATTTAAAAATAGGCTTGCTATTCAACACCTCAGCTGAATAAATTGTTGGTGTGAACAATCATCAACTCTTGGTTATCAGTGTCGATAATCACAATGTCTGTGAGTAGTGATAGTTTTCTTTCTTCTAGCCTTACATACTTATTTATTTTTCTTGACTGTGTTGTCTAGCTCCTTTGTTTTGTACAAAACTGAAACCGTGATAGCAGCCACCTCTGCCTTGGGTATGACTTTCCAAATTTTACCATCAAGAGTGGTGTTTGGGTTAATCCCAGTGTTTGGGTTTATCAAAGCTGTCCTCTAAATTCCTAATTTGCTAAGAGTTTTAGGTACAGATTTAGGTGTTAGATTTTTTTTTTTCCAAAATTCTTTTTCTGTCTACTCACGTAACCAGATATTTTTCTATTATAATCTGTCATGCACAGGAATAGTTTTGTTTTTGTTTTTGTTTATTGCTACTGGAGGTTGAATCTGCTAAGCATATGCTACACCCAAGCCCCAGAAATAGATTTTTTAATGTTCAATTCTCCTGCCATTCTTAGAGCTCATCTAATTTAGTTATATGCTTTAAAAATACATTGCTGCATTTGATTTGCTCCTAATTTCATCCTGGACTTTTTGCATTTCTGCTTATAAATGATTCTGCCCTATAAATCTTTGTATACTTTTCCTTAGGAAGGTCTAGCTTCATAAAGAATTGAAGAGTTCCCTGTTTCTAGAATATTTATAGAAGTCTTATTGTCTTTGCTTAAAGTGAACTATAAACATGACTTGAGAAAGAAATCCAACTGGACTTTGTAGCAGCCAAAGAGAAAATCTGTGATTTATAGTAGGCATAAGATCAAGGTGAAACAGTTGCTGAAAAGAACACAGCAACCTGAGACAGAGGGCCACCTAACCCCTCCATGAGCCCTCAAGAGAGCGCACCCTTGGCAGCTCAGTGAGAGTCTGGGCCCCGTGACCGCTGTTCAGCGCCCTGCTGTGGGCCAGCCTACAAGGGTGAAGTAGGGTCACTGAAGCCACTAGACCAAATCCAGGAGCACAGTTCTGTGAGTCCAGGCTGGGCGGCAGGGAGGGCTGAGTCCTGCTGGGGTCATGTGCCGTGGCTTTGCTCAGATCCTCAAGGGCCTAGGGTCCCCATGGTTAGCTACTGCTGATTTTAGGGACTTACAGACTGCCTCAGCCATTCACTGTTTCTTCAGCTGAATTTTGTTTGATGCCCCTGGCCATGAGTTTGAGGATTAATCTTCCTGTGTGACATGGCATACATTGGTGCTCTCTCTGAAGTGCTAGGGTCCTGTGGCTTCAGCACAGCTGAGCTTGTGTAAAGGGTCAGGTTTGAACTGGACAAGGCCTTCATGTTGTCAGTAGAAATGTACTATTTTAACCTTCAGCCTCTGATTTGAGCTGCTTGTTGTAGGAACTTAAAATACTAAATTGTTCAACTCTCTTCTGGTATTTGGCTCTTTGGATAGGGCTACTCTGGACATCTTTGACTACATCTACATCGATGCTTTTGGGAAGGGCAAGCAGCTGACAGTGAAAGAGTGTGAGTATTTAATCGGCCAGCATGTGACTGCAGCGCTGTATGGCGTGGTCAACGTGAAGAAGGTGTTGCAGCGGATGGTGGGAAACCTGCTGAGCCTGGGGAAGCGGTAAGCCCTTTTGATTGTTCTGCAGAGCGCATGTCTTACACAGAATTTTATTCAGTGACCCTTCCTGGGATATAGCAGAGCATCGCATGCACCGCCTATAGCTTCTACCCACCGTAGGAAATAACCAGTTCCTGAGGCAAAACTGCACACAGTCACGACAAGAAAACAGAAGTTTGAAACTTTCTTATGAGTCCAAGGAAGTTTGTCCTGGAAAAAGCAAGTTGTGGATTCTATGTTGATAGTTTTCTGCCTGATAACCAAGTTCTTTTTTTTAATGACTTTATTTGACTTTATTTGTTAGTGCAGTTTTAAGTTGACAGCAAAATTGAGCGGAATCAGAGTTCCCATCTCCTTTCCTCCCGTCCCACCTTACCCGAGCCACAGCCATCTCCCCTGTCAAAAGCCCTCTCCAGGGTAGACATTCCTTACACGTGATGAGCCTGCACTGACGCGTCATTGTCACCCCCGGTTCCTCGTGTATGTTAGAGGTCTGGGTCAGTGCTGTGCCCTCTGTGGGTCTGGCCGTGCATCCACCAGTACAGTTCCACGTAGAGTAGTTTCAGGGCTCCCCAAAGTCCTCTGCTCTGTCTACATAGAGCTCACTTTTAATTATTAACCGTGTTTCTGAGGTGACTACTTAAGGAAGATGCTTAAGATTTTTTTTATTGAGTATAAAATTTATATTTACTGTGTATTTTGTAAGAGCATTACAACTCTGAATCGGGAAAATGTCAAAATCAGAAAACTTCTGGGATTCGTGTCAATCACTTTTAAAACCCTGGAAAAGGTGGGGACTTGGCTGAAAAAGCAAACGGTATGAGACAAAAGATGATTTTCCCCACTAGGGAAGGCATCGACCAGTCGTACCAGCTCCTGAGAGACTCGCTGGATCTGTACCTGGCAATGTACCCAGACCAGGTGCAGCTTCTGCTCCTCCAAGCCAGGCTCTACTTCCACCTGGGAATCTGGCCAGAGAAGGTAGTTATTTTATCTTGATGCTTTTCCCTTTCTTTAGAGAAGAGAGTCCTACATTGAAGGGCAATTATTTTGAGTTTATCCCTGCCTTACCCAGAGGAATGAGCACAAATTTCTGTGAGGTCTCCCAATCTTGTCCCACCAGTTATATATTTTCCTGTCCCTGCTCTCCTAAGAGGCATTAGTTCTCCTGTGAGGAATTGCCCATTCTCTGTGTGATTAGTCTCTTGGCGCCTGGAGTCACAAAGCCAGTGTCCTGCCACCAGGATCTGAGCTCTGAGTCACTCTCAGCAAGGGAAACAAAACTGAATATTAGCAACTAAATTGGCCAGAAATAAATATCCCTGTCTGACACAGAAAGACCAGATGTCAGATAGGTTCAAGTCTTGCCACTGAACTAGTTAGGAACCAGATATGTCTTTGAAACAACTGAGTTTCATTACTGTTCCGCTTTATTGTTCCTGGTATTACTCTTGCCCCCTTTGGGCCCAAAGCAAGGCTGGTGAGAATGCCACAGCGCTGAAGCAGAATTCACCTCTGGCAACTATGTGTGGGTTCTAGGGCTTTAGAATGTTTGACAGTGCAAGAGACAGTGGCACAGGCCCTTCCCTCGTCTGTTTGTTTAGAGCAGCATGCTGGAAAAATCTAATTCTGATCTCTCTCTCACTGATTGCCAGAAATGTATCTCTCTGAGTTACTAGAGAAGGGTAAAATATCCTAGAGAAAGTAGATGTTGTAAATGACCCTGGATTGCATAGATTTACATTGTCTCGTTAGTTCACGGACTGACGCTGTCCACAGCCAGGCATCGGTGGGAGGTGGTACAAGAGCTCATGGGAAAGTTGAATCTGCCAGTTCTACCTCACACAGCTCAGTTGTCCATCATTAGTTTTTAGTGTTTTTTATTTTATTCGCTTACTTCCGATTCCTGGATACACATAGCTAATTCCTGTCACTTTTTACTTTAGCTTTGTCATGATCATTCATGAAGTGTAGAGCAAAGATTGTTTGGATGGAAAGTCGATAGTTGAATGACAGGTCTGCCTGAGAAGTGCTGCAGTCTCTGGCTGCTCTGGTGGCCTTGCTTCTGCCGCTGGCTCATTGCAGTACTCACACTGTACACTGCATCTTGGGAGCTGCCTCCCTGTCTCAGAATGGTCACACTCACCTTGCTGCCAAGCAGGCACCACTAAAGCTGTTCCAAAGCTGCTACATGCAAAACATTTTTCCTCCAGGTGCCCAGAGAGAGCAGAGAACAGTGGCTTTTTCCAGGTGCACCTTAGAGGCCCCCTCCCTTAGACCAGGGAATCAGCTAGGAAAGTGACCCCCCCAAGGGGGTGAATGGAAGCTGGGACTCCCAGTGAGGAGGAATCTAAGAGCTGCCTGGTCACTAGAGAAAGCTCCTCACCTGGGATGGCTTCAGGGTAGGCCTCAAGAGATGAAGAACTGTTTTTCTGAGCAGCAGAGATGGTTCTGGGGTGCAGCAGCAGGCTGTGCAACACCTGCAGAGGCCAGCCGGACAGGAATCTGCATGCAGATGCAAGTGTGTGTGTCTACCAGGTTTTGGCAGTGTCAGATGAGTTTGCTCATTAGATGAAAGGAAAACAATCCTGAGCTGGGAAGTCAGAAAGTTGCCTTGTTTTCTGCTGTATTAAACAGGAAGAGCTAAGAAGTATTGGCCCCATGGTCACTGCTGCAGTAATCCAGGATTACTGTGACTATAATGGAAATCGAGAGTGCCAGATGGTCGTGTTTAAAAGGTAGTGACTTTCTCAAACACCTTCCATCTTCTCAGCAACGCTATGGCTCGATACTGTTTCCATTTCTGCCATTTTACAAATAATGAGACAGGCACGGAGAAGTTAGGTAGCTTGCTGGGGTCTCCTGTGCACAACACACAGAGGCATTGCCAAGAATTCACCCTTAGCAGGTACCAATCTCACTGCTCCCTTGTCCCCTGGGAAGCCAGCAGCTAAGGCACTGTACTGCTTCCAGACCCATGTTTTAACCTGACCTGTAGGTACCCTTTCCCTGTTTCTCTGCATTGCAGTAGAAAAGGTGCCACTCTGATTTTCCAAGGCAAAGCCCCACTCCTTTGTTAGGGACAAAAACAAAGAGCGATCTGCTGTTTGTGGCGTTTGCCTGCAGCCACCACGTCATTCCCTTACACACTGTCCGCCACCTCCACACTCTCCCCAAGGCACCGGGCTCCTGCCTACCCCCCTGGCTCTGTCCTGCCCAAGGAAGTCAGGACCCCCTTTTGCTTAAACGACTCTTCCGTTGCTTAATCCAGGAGCTACTCTTCTTTCCTTATCTTTCTCCATCTGCAGCTACTGCACCTCCACTGTCGCCTATGTTCTGTGTCGTCTGGTTTCCAGGCTCTTGGTGGCTTCTTGTCCTTAGTCTCCTCCTAGGATCTACACCAGGCTAATCTCTGGCTTTCTTGTACTCTGCGCTTTTGTGCAAGGTCACCTCCCTGTCCCCTTTGCCTCATTTGCCTCCTGCCTGCTGATAGCTCCTAGGTTTCGGGCTCCAGAACAAAATACGAGGTGCCTCCCACATACCCCGGTCCGGCTCTGGCTCTGGCTCGAGAAGCAGGGAAGGTTGCCCATTGGAAACAGTCTTGCGTAGATTCACACACAGGCTCTTACTTTGTCTCTTTTCTCCTTCACTCTGCCCTGAGATCTTGTAAGCCTCTTTCATATGTGGTAGTCAGAGTCATCTCTGTAAAATGTCACTTATGCCCCTTCACTGCTGAAGCCCCTGAGTGGTTCCCCTGCTGCCTCTGGGATGGGCCATACACACTGCAGTGTAGTTCGCAGGCTCTCAGAGCCCTGGCTCCTCACTCTGGCCCTTCTCCACACTCTCAGCACAGTTCTTGCCACACAAGGCTCCTAATTTTTTTTAAATGACCAGACTTCATTGGCTAGGAATAAAGAAGACTTCAGGAGGATGTCCAGAGTTTCCGAAAGGGGGGCAGTTCGTACACGCTGAGGGCGTGTGGAGAACAGCCTGTTTGGGCTTGGGAGAGAGTGTCAGGTTAGGGTATGTTAAGTTTGTTCTGACCTGGTGCTCCCGGCATCAGCCTCTAGTTGCCAGAGGCCTCAAAGCAGTGATCCTACGCAGGTGGACGTCAAGAAATGCAGGATTTGACAGCCTCAAGGGAAACCTGGGATCAAAGCCAGCATGGGGTCAGCAGCGCCAGCCAGTTTGTGGGGACCCTTTCCTAAAGCCGACACACACTCGGCGTCTGGCTGCTCTCAGCTGCAGCAGCTGGGTGTTCTGGCTGAGTCAGAGTCTGGACAGTCCACAGAGCCCAGATTCTCTCCAGCCCTTTCCAGGAAGTTTGCCGAACCCTAGGTTAGAGGAAGAGGAGCATGATAAGGAAATGCATCGGGGCACTCGGGCACCCAGCCCAAAACATTTCCCCAGAAGTTGTAAACACTTGGGATTCAGGCCTGGAGTATTCATTTGGGGACAGTGTGGTGCCTCTTAGCACTGTCCTTTGTAAGCACACCAGGCCCCAAGTCACAGCTTCCTCTCTGGTTCTGCCCTCGCCCACACATGCAGGGAAGGAGGGTGGTCTTCACTGATTCTTGTTTCCTGTCTCAGTCTGAGTTCAAGCTCTGCTTGGTGCTTGGGAGATGCCAGGTTCTATCATGGCTGCAGGTCTGCCTGGTGGGGAGGGGCCGCTGGGGGGCACTAAGCATACAGGTGCGAAGGTGCAGTAGGACTGCATGGGACAAAGCACAGCCCCATGTCGGTACAGGAACAGGCTTATTAATCAGTAGGGTGCGTTCAGCCGTGAAGAAATGTCACTGGGTTTCTCCACAGTAAAAGTACCCTCCTGTAGGTGGGAATGTGGTTAGGGATTGGCTCTCCATCAGTTCTGGTGGAAACTGGGTTTTGTCTGCTTGCATTACACCACTCTGCCCATGTTTATGTACTTGAAACTCTGTGATATATAATTAAAATGCTCCTATCCTTGAGCCAGTATGATGGTGCCTTAGACCTTAGGTTGACAGTCTGATCCAAGGCCTCTACCTTACTCCCCATCTTCATAACCCCGTGCCCTCAGGCAATTCATTTCACCTCACTAGGCCACTTCCTCTTCCGGAAGTCAGCAGTAACTACTTGGCACAGTGCCCAGCGGGGAATAAAGTATCGAAATTCATGGTCAGAAAATCTTGAGATCTGCAGTCTCATTCTGGAAGACAAGATTGGGCTTGGGGATGATACCTTGGCTTGCATAAAACTAATTTTCACAACACTTAACACAGGTCACTTGTATTAGGAAAGAGGTAAGGCAGTGCTTAATCATCATTTGAGAAATGAAAAAGTAATTCAAAAGTAAAAACAGCTAGTTTGACAGATTTGGGACTAGAATCCAGGTTGCTTCTCCACCAAGCAGGCAATAATTTAGGACTCAGTAAATCAGAACAGACTTGTCAGAGACCTTGAGCTGCATGCTGTAAACAGCACAGGTGCTCAGTAATCCTGTGTGTATGTTTTGAAAACTGTACTTGAATGCTATTTTTCTGTAGCCACACCATATGCAGTAGAGTGGCTGTCACAGTGGAGTTACAGACCTGCCAGGACCTGCTGCTGCTTCTACTGCTGTTTTGGTCTCTGGACAGACCCGGTTTCTCCCGTTGCTCATGTGAATGCCTGGTTCCTTTCTGAGTTAGGGTAGTGGGTGTGACTGGCCAGATTCCAGAACCCTGATAATCTTGCTTCCCTCCTTGAATGTGATGTCATAAATTAAGAAGATTGCCCTCTTGGTGACGTCCACCACTGAGGCAGTTGTATCAAAATGCCTTCGTCTTGATAAGAGCAGTTGAGGACTTTTCCCACCCAGTGCATTCGTAGCAGGCTACAATAGTCTTCTTCCAAGCATTGCCACTATTTCCTCCCTGACCGAGAACGGTAGACCTTAGCTGTCCTAGTCCAAGCGTGCCCTTGTCAGATTACGTAGGTAGGCCTAAATCCCGTGCTGCAAAAGAGAAAAGGCCTAGCTGAAAATATTATCTCCTAGTCTTTTTGTCTTGTCTTGAAGGTGCTTGACATCCTCCAGCACATCCAAACCCTCGACCCCGGGCAGCACGGGGCGGTGGGCTATTTGGTGCAGCACACGCTAGAGCACATTGAGCGCAAAAAGGAGGAGGTAGGCGTGGAGGTTAAGCTGCGCTCTGATGAAAAGCACAGGGATGTCTGCTACTCCATCGGGCTCATAATGAAGCATAAGAGGTAAGTGCTTGGGGCCCCCGTCCTCCCGCGTCCGTCCGCTGGGTGCTGCAGAAGGTGCTCGTGAGCCTTGGGCCTGTAGTGATTCTGCCAGAGGAGGATCTGAGAGCAGCAGTGCGCCGTGCCCACCACAGGAGCGACAGAAAGCTGCACCGGCTATTTACACGCTGGCTGGTTTTCCTGAACAGTCTCCCAGTGTTTTTAGTGACCTAGACGTTTAACCCTTCTCTGTGAGGAATACGGAAGCAACTCTGTGAGCAAATGGTTTTTCTCTCATGCTTTACTGTTAATGCTCTTCTTTAATTCCCCTCTCCTCACTTCTGGATCCTGAATAGGAGGTGCACGTGGTCTGTTTACCAGGCACAATTAAGCTCTCTCCAAAGTAATGGTGCCGGTGTGTACCCACCAGCAGTCCAGGGGCTGCGAGTGCCTGTCCTCACGGACAGCCGTCGCTGTGAGACCTTTAAAAATGTGCCGAGGCGGTAAACGGCACATGGTCCTTTGTTGTGGTTTTCATGACGCTTCCCTGGCCCACACGGGCTGGGGTCTTTTCATCCGTCCACTGGCCGTCTGAGTCTCTGTGGAAGTGCTGCTTCAGGTGCTTTATTTATATTCCATTGAGTTGCTAGTCTTTTGGGGCGAGGGATGGGTACCAGGGATCAAACTCAGGACCTTGTGCTTGTGAAGCAGGTGGTGGCGCCACTGAGCTAAATCTCCGGGGAGTTACTAGTATTTATTGACATGTAGTTGTTTTTCATCCCGTACATTGGGCTCTGTGTGAGGGTAAATCCCAAATGTCTTACCAGTTCGGGCCAGTGCTTCTATCCTTTCAGTGTGTGCCTGAAGAGAGGCAGATATGTGCTCAGGTGATGTTCCCATCATCCAGTGTCAGTGCTAGCAATGCAGGCGGCCTTCATCGTTTCCTCCCCACCTCATCTCTCCCTGGAGTAATGAAGCAGGCGCTCGATGTCACATCACCCATGCTATGACAGTGTGTATCTCTTTTGAGATGAGGTCTCACTGTAGTGTAGTTCAGGCTGGCCTGGAACTCGTGGCAGTCCTGCCTCAGCCTCCCAGGTGCTGAGGTTACAGGTGTGTACAACCATGTCCAGCCCCTCACTTTCTCTTGCCTCTCAATATATTTATTGTCCTGTTACCACATCCAAAAATTGATTCCTTAGTCCCAGATGCCCTCTATGTTGTATACAAACTGTTTTGATCAAGGTCCTTTATTCTGTTGATTTTTCACTTTTCTTCAGTGTACTGGGGATTGAACCTAGGCCCTGGTACATGCCAGGCAAGTACTCTACCACTGAGCTACAGCCTCTGCCCTTTTTTTAATTAATTAATTAATTTGTTTGTTTGTTTGTTTTTGAGTTGCCCAGGGAGGCCTTGAACTTGTGTTCCTCCTGCCTGAGCTTCCTGAGTAGCTGGGAGTTAGGTGTGTGCCAATGCGTCTAGTCTCTCGCTGTTTTAGTGCTGTCAGATTGGTTAGTTTTCCTTTGTGGATTATATTTTTACTGTCTTGTTTAAGAAATCTTCCCTTGTCTCGTGTCATGAAGATAATTCATCTCAAAAGTTCTGCGTTGTGTGTCCAGGCCTTTGTTTCATTACGAGTCAGTTGTGGTGCGTTGTGATCAGGTTAATGCCCTGATCATTCCTTTTCCATTTGGATGAGCATGGTGTCCTATCGCTCTTTATTGACATTCTTCTTTTCCAAATGAAGTACTACCTTGACAGTAAGTTTGTGAAGATGGGCAGGAGAGTCCTCAGAAGAACATGATCCAACATGGCATAAAAGCAGGAAAGTGTGTGAGAACCTGAGCTGAAGGGAAGCCAGGCCACACCTCTGTGTCCTCGGAACTGACCCGCTGTCCTCTCCTGCTCGCTAGGTACGGCTATAACTGTGTGATCTACGGCTGGGACCCTACCTGCATGATGGGCCACGAATGGATCCGGAACATGAACGTGCACAGCCTGCCTCACGGCCACCATCAGCCTTTCTACAACGTGCTGGTAGAGGACGGCTCTTGTAGATACGCAGCCCAAGGTAAGGAGCCACTCTGCCCGGCCCACAGTGACACCTGAGCATTGTGTGCACACACCTGGGTTGTCAGAGTAGTCGGAGGTGGCAGTTGTCCCTTGGCTAACCTCAGGACTGACATGAGCTGAACTGGGGTGGATACCAAGTGTGAACTGGTCACACCCAGACGTGCCAGGACCCTATTCTAGTGCTGTACCAGCCTGTGACCAGTGCCTATGCCAGTCAGATTCGCAGCAGTTCGGCCTCCCACACTGCGCCTGGGACCCCCGGATCCCCCAGAGAAGCCTTCCCACGCCCTGTAGCCTGGGGACTAGCAGCCAGCTACTCTGCCCCAGGGTCACCCTCGCGTGGCCATTTATGGGAACTGCAGTCCACAGCACAGGCATCAATTGCCTCAGCCAACAGCCAGCGGCTCGGTAACTTTGGTTGGAGTTTGGGGCGACTGCCAACCTGAACAGGTGTTGGGCCAGGGCGTACCTGAGGTAGGGACCAATGGAGCCCGAGGAGACAGGCCTTCATTGTGCGTGTGCCTTTCCTTTGTCCCTGTTGAATTGCTCCCCTGTTTAAATCAAATTTGAGTGTATTTTATGTTGACCAAGCTATTCACATGAGTTTTATTACTAAAGGAAGCACGGATGCTGTCATAGGGTGACCAGCAGCCTTCTAATCTATGTTAGCTTCATCAGAGCCACCACCGTTGTCATCATTTTACACATGCAGAGACTAGAGCACGTGAGTGTCAGTTCAAAGCCGGGTCCCTTGGAGAGAGCCTTCTCTAACTATCACGATGCACGCTCATGTCTGGACCAGAACATGAGTTTGACCAAATTCCAGTGATAGAAATACTGGTATGAGAATGTTAGGCATGCCAGGTCTGGTGGCACACCCTGTGATCCCTGCACTCAGGAGGCTGAGGCAGGAGGATCAGCATGAGTTTGAGGCCAGCCAGGGCCACATATTAAGTTCAAAGCCAGCATGAACTACATAGTGAGACCCTCTCTCAGAAAAAACAACGAAAACAAAAGTCTGACGTTGCACAGAGGCTGGAAAAGGAGAGCCTGTCTGACACACGCACACATGCACATCCCAGGGTTTACGGCCCAGCACTGGGGAAAAAGCCTGGGAGAAGTTTGTGTACTAATTATTAATTCAGCAGAGGCTGAGGGTTGAGCCTCTACCAGTGCTGCAAGACCGTGGGCCCTCAGATGGAGCCTGCAGCGTGATGCACTTTCTCTTTGGAAGCTGTGTCCAAAAATCATTCCAGTCAATTCTGAAACTCAAAGTGATCCGGAAGTTATCAAGTGACGCGCTGTGTGGTACGGTCTTACACTGTGCATTTTACCGGATGCCACAAGAGTCACGGGAATTCTCTTGGCGTCGGCACCGAGGGCCCGTGTCCCCAGCTTCGTTGCCGGCAGTCATTGTCTCTAGGGTTGGCATGAAGACTGGGAGCATTTGGTGCTGAGTTTCTAGAAACAATGGCTTTTTGGAGTAGCTACTTGGCTTTAGGTGTCCTGAGTTTGTCCTGTTGAAGATGCACGAAGGAATTCACCTCTCATCTGAGTGAACATGCAGCATGAGGTTTTACAGCCGAAGTACTCATTACTGGAAAATTAATGTCGGCCTCTCACTGTCACCACCTGTAAAGTTGAGATGGCACCTGAGTGAGTTTGAATGATGTGAACAGCCCGCCTTCTTTAATTGGAGGCTTTGACACTTAAGCACCCTTAGTGCCAAAGCTGTTCCCACACTGCTCTGCGTGGTTCTCCCACGCCACTCGGGGACCCCTGTTCCGGGAGTGTGGGGGCGGAGGTGAGGAGGACCCCTTCACAGGCTCCTCTCCTTGGCCCCGGGGCGCTGGTGACTCAGAAGTCCCTCTGGGCTCCCCGCCTGTCTGGCACAGCCCCCAGCCTCCAAGGGCACTGGGGTTCTCCAAGCCACTCCCATGCCATCACCCTGCGCTCCCGCGGCCCCTGTCGGATGCCCCTGTGTGTGCCCACTCATTGCGTGGCACCACCCAGACCAGCTCTTTCTGCTCTGGCTCCACCGTGCGCATCGCTCCCTTGCGAGTCTGAGCTCACACCGCACAGCTGTGGCTGCTCCGCTCCTCGGCAGTGGACTTCACCTGTGTCCCTGACCACCTCCTGAGGTGCTGCCACCGGGCCTGCCCTCCCAGTGGGCATTTCCTGAGCCTTACCGCTGCAGCCTCGGCTGGCCCCTCCCCGTCTCCACCCCGTCCTGCCATGCGTGCTACCCGGCCATTCACGTCTTTGTTCCCTAAACGTCCTTACTCACCTCCAGGTCTTCAGAGGTCTGGTTTAACGTCACTTCCTTCCTCAAGCCTTTCTCACTCCTGCCCTGCACTTCCCCGAGCACCCTGTCTTCCGATCAGTACTTCATATCCAGTATTTCTGTGGAATGACGGGGCTGACTGCCCTGTCCTCGGCTCAGGACTGCAGTGGCCGGGTCTGCCCCCCACTCAGGATGTCCCTCGGCACCTTGGGTTGTTCCAGACCCCAGCGGAAGGAGTTCTTGTCCCAGAGTGAGAGACAGAGACAGGGAGAAAACTAGAAGCACCAGTGGAATGAGTGTCAAAATGTGGCTCTTCTTACAATTTAGGATCAAGAGCATTTTCGAACGTGAGCTTACATAACATCAGTTACCCCACTGATCCTCCAGGTGGCTGGCTCAGCAGGTAACATGGTGTTTCTTCTGTAGGTAGAGATTCTGGCTTAGTACTTTACCATTTGAAAGACTATTGTTAATCTTGCATCTGTGAATAAGGACATTTCCCAGCGCTGAAGCAGTAACACACTTAGCACATACAGTATTTCATAATACCTGATGCTCACTCAGCTTTCCGATTTCCCAGTTGCCACAAGAAATCTTTTGCAGAATTTGTTGTTGTTGCTTAAAAATCAGGATTCAGGCATTATTCAAGAACAGTTTCTTTTTCTTCATTTTTCTCTCCTTCTGTCCTGCCTTTGATTTAGAAGAATCCAGGCCAGTCGTCTTGCCTTTGGCCTCGGCGATCCTATTAACTTGAGGTCATTGATATTAACCCTCCACAGAGAGATGAAGAATGAATTGAAACCACAAACACAGATGGTGTAGTTTTAGTCTGCAGAGTATAAGAAAATCCTTTCCTCCTTGTGTTAGCTTTAGCTTTCACCTGAGCAGCATCTTGCGTGTTCGTAACTTCCTGCTCCACCATCGACTCCTGTCCCAACTTCCCACACGGACTTTCAGGTACCAGTGAAATGAGGTCACAGATGCTGTGGATGTAAGTCAGCCACTCAGAGTGGAGGGTCAGGGGTTGAGTTGCAGGGGAGATAGTGTGCCTGGATCATGTGTCAGATCCCTGTTCATGGTTTGTCTTAACACCTCTGTACTAAGCAGTCTGTACATGGTTGCAAGTGTGGTGATGTGAGAGTCGGTATGCAATGGCAGCCATTGCAGGGGCCTGTTTGACATTCTTTCTCTCTCTCTCTCTCTCTCTTCTGTGCTGGGGATTGAACTCAGGACCTTTCGACCTTCTCTTTTAAATCATAAAAACCTTAAGTGTTTATTCCCTTGTAGCCCAGTGGCTCCCCCTGTTCCTTGACTAAGCACGCAGTCACACATGTGTACAAGGAGCCGTGGGTGGTGGCCCATTATTGAAAGTAGCAAAGCACTTGTCATCCCTAAGGACTCGCCTGGGCGGTGGGCCAACTGCCTAGACTGTGGGATACTAGGCTGCCCTGGAGTTACCCAGTTCAGGTAAATGCTTCAACTGCTTCAACTTTGGTGTAGATAAGCACGTGAAGAATGCCCCCGTTCTCTGAGTCTGTCAAGGATGTTCACTAAAGACACACACTGCTGGTGGGACCCCTCGAGAGCAAGGGGTGCCACGGGCTCAGAGACGGTTTGTCCCCAGTATGACTCATATTTGGGGATTTTTAAATAAGCACATGTCTGACAGTTTTCAAGGGCATCCTGAAAGAGTGCTCAGGATTTTCCAGAACACTTAAGTGTTCCCTGGTTCATCTTTTACTCAGTTAAGATCTGTGCTTCTTCAGTTCTCCTAAAGTTCATTTTTTGAAAACCTTATTTTACGATTGGTGTTTTCCCTTACTGAGACACACAGTTACCAATCTCATTGTCATGTTCCTCCCATAAAGAAACTGGTTTCCTTCTTTCCGCTCTTACTGCTTAGCAGGCTCAGAGCCCCAGCATGCAGATGTGCTGAGCCCAGTCCCTGTCCTTTGCAGAGCCAGAAGGGGCACTGAGCAGGCCTTTCCTGGAGTCGTTTACCTCAGGGTGTCCTGCCTGGACTCTGCAGACAGACTTCTAGCTTGGGGCCCAGATTCAGAACTCCGTGCCTCAGCTTCATCCCAGTCCCGGTAATGCCCGTGTCACCCTGTGTGCCGGGACGCTGGGCCTTGGGCGCCTTGACTGTGTTTCGGGGCATCTGCTCAGGAGACCACATGCTGTCCTCTTGTTGTTAGCTTGTCAGGTGTTTGAACTGAGTCATGGTGTAGCTGCAGCTTGGCGGGAGGGAGGCGGCCCTGGGGATGCGCGGTGTGAAGGATTCTGCCCTCCGCCCCTTTCTGGAGCCAGGTCATGGAGACCATTGCTGGGCTTCTTCCGGATTAGGGGTTGCACAACAAACAAAAGGTGTACAAGACACCTCCCATTGGGCCCCCAAGGGGACCATGTTCCAAACAGATGGGGGTGTGAGCTATGCAAAAGGACTTTAGTCTTTTAAGTACCTTGCTGCGGTATCATCATCATTCAGAGGCTTATTTTCTATTTCTCTGCTGGGCTGATTAGGGTTTGGGCCTCACACTGACCCTGGGAAGGGGCTGCTCGCTGGAGGGAGCGCATGGCCAATGAATGTGGCAGCAGGGACTGAGGGTGCAGAGAGAGTGATTTGTGTGGCAGGGTTCCTCTCAGTAGGCCTAGCGTGGCAGGTCTGAGCTGGTCACCTGTATCCAAGTGACAAGGTGGCTTCTGAAGTTTAGATGGTGAGGACCATCTGGGCCTGAGCTTTGGCTCTTTGTGAGGTCCGACCACGGGGGTGATGTGTCTCTAGTTTGCAGTGTCGAGGCGACTCCACTGCAGCTGCGGGCGCCTTCCATCTTGCTCAGAGAATAGGGAAGTGTTTCCATATTTGAGGAGCTTCCATCCCTCCTGTAACATCTGTGGTCTTTCCTTCCTTCCACCTCCAAAATGCCACTCGAGAGGGTGGTAGGAGGTTCTCTGAGAAAAGCTGCTGCAGACATTGGAAGTTAACGTCAGTGTCCATGTGCCTCTTTGCCAACAGAAAACTTGGAATATAACGTGGAGCCTCAAGAAATCTCGCACCCGGATGTCGGACGCTATTTCTCAGAGTTTACCGGCACTCACTACATCCCAAACGCTGAGCTAGAAATTCGATATCCAGAAGACCTGGAGTTTGTCTATGAAACGGTGCAGAATATTTACAGTGCAAAGAAAGAGAACATAGATGAGTAAAGTCTAGTAGAGGACATTGTACCTTTGCTGCTGCTGCTATCTTCCAAGAGAACAGGATTCCAGAAGGAGATGTATCCGCGGTCCCTCTGGATTCACACCACCAGGAAAGCCACCTCACTGGTCGCGCTGGTTGCCTCCTCCTAAGTTTAAATGACGTGTGCTCTCCTCCAGCTGCAAAGACAATGTTGCTCTCCGCCTACACTAGTGAATTCACTTGAAAGGCACTGTGTTCAGTGGCATGGCTTGTACGCTTGTCCTGTGGTGACAGTTTGTGACATTCTGTCTTCATGAGATCTCACAGTCAGTACTGCATTCTTTTTTATCCACTTTCCATCCTTACGTCTGTCTACATTTGTCTCAGAACATTTCATTTGCTGGACAGATGGGGTTATACATTTGCAATAATTTCTTTGATTTCTCTAGAACACGTGCAGTCCTCAGTCAGGATTGTTTGTCTTTTTACCCTGAATTTAGTTGTGTATTCAGAGGTAAAGTTGTACACTAACTTGGCAGCATCTTGCAGATGGAGACATTAACAAGCTAATGGTAATTAGAATCATTAGAATTTATTTTTTTGCTAATACATGAAACACGGATTTCAAGTGTTTTATCTTTTTTTAATTTAAATTGGGAGAATGACAATTTTCCCTTCCATATTCCTCTCTTGGATTTGTGCACATTTCTACAAATCATGAGCTTTCTATTTTACTACATAAGATTCTTCAAGAAAATGCATAATAATGGCCTTTAAGAGTGGACTTTTCCACATTCATCTACTATTCCTTTCTTGAAATAACTACTTCTTTTTTTAATCTGCTCCAGAATCATGAGTAGGTCTTAAATCAGTGATGGGTTCTGTTCTGTAGTGAGACTTACAAGTCTGATGTTGAAATATTTGCTGTTAGAAATCATACTCTCTGGTCGCCAAAGACCAAACAATGGGGTTTTGTTTTTCTAATGAAAATAAAAAAAGAACTAATGAACCTTAATTAAAAAGAGAGATTTCATACCCCTTGTCATTCCTGAGTCACTTCCAGACCCTTTTGAGTATGGAAGGGTAGAAAGAAGAAATGTCTTGAATTTTCAGATATTGAACTTGGGAAAGGAGGTGTGCATGTAACCTGGCTTCTCCAGCCACCAGTGCCCCAAAGGCACCAGGACAATACTCGTTCCTGCTCCCCACGGGGAATTCTGACCATCTTCAGACCCCCTGGCTTCTTTCTGTGATCTTAGCAATCGAGCGTGAAGCCACCGAGTCTTTCTGCAGCTTTGGAACTCCCACTACTCGCAACCTGCCAGTTTTTAAGCCAGCTGTCTTGTAATTAACCAGTAGAAGCTAACTTCCGGAGTTAGGATCTAGTTACGTTGCGATCTGCATTTAAAATACATAATCAGTCGCTCTAGTGAATGAGGCTTTAGGGGGCTGCAATCCAGCAGCCTGGCCGCCTGTCTGTCATTGCATGCAGTATTCCCACGCCACGCTGAATGGCTGCTTTTTGTCTACCCTTTGGGAACCCTGGGATGACCAAGGTTTGGGGAACCCACCTGAGACCACTTAATAGCAAGTGAAGGCCATTAGGCAGTTACTAGAAAGAGATGGGGATCTGGCAGCCGGCTCCTTCCAGCCTGAATAGCTACCACCCAGTGTCCATGTTCCTCATCAGTCCAATCCAGAGTCAGATGATTTGAATTTGCATTTGATAACGTGACCACTCACAACACCTAGCCTGCCTGAGGTTGCGGGGATTTTACACTACTCTCATTTAAAGGTAAACATTAGATACTATGGAATTAACATTGAGATGTGTTACTAAGAAACTGTGGAGCATGCTGAGAGTTATAATTGTTGGTTTTCTGGTTTGATTTCCTTTTTTCTTAGAATAACATCAAAGCCGAGAACAGTGGTTTTACCTTTACTGACCCAACTGTAAATATGTATCTAGACTGACTGTTTTTAAATGTGTTTCTTCCTGAATGCTTCATTTGGCTCCCGGAAGCCTTTATCACCTGTGTAAGTTGGTATTTGGGCACTTTATATTTTTCTAAAAACGTGTTTTGGATCCTGTACTCTAATAAATCATGTTTCTTTTTAAAAAAATTTTTTTCCAAAAGTTTTCTCCATTTGAAAAAGCCCTGTTAGAAAAGTAGAACTTTCACAATGTTAAAATATTAAATATTTGGATATAGTAACTTCTTTCTCTTCAAATGAATGCCAAGATTTTTTTTTTGTACAATGATTAATAAATGGAACTTATCCAGAGAAACCATGCAAATAGCCTGCCCAATTTCGTTTCAGAACCAAAAGCCCCTCCACAGTGAGGGAAAGCTCTCTCATGGCTCTTCTGATCTAAGTATGACGAATTTGTTCCACTGAGTTTTTCTCAGCATCAGTGAGTGAGCAGTGTACCTTTGTACTACAGTTTCCTTACCAGATAGTGACTTTATGAGTTCGAGTAGTCTTAGTGCCACGCCTGGTTGCTGCAGAAATAGCACCTTTTTAATTATATGAAAATACACACAAGACAGGAGCCGCAGGTGCCAGAGGCAAAGCCAGGTAGGTCTGAGGGGTGCTTTGTGGTGCGGAGCAGAGTGCAGAGTGCGGTGGCGTCACTCCCTGCCGTGGAGGCAGCTGAGGGCGGCCTCCGCCAGGCCGGCTGTTTCCTGGAGTGCTGTGCTTTCCAAGGGGAGAGGACGGCAGGCCTCAGCTTCCTTAGCAGGACCTGGAACTGTCCTCCCGTGACACGCACGCCACCCTGGCGGCTGCTGTTTGCAGATCCGCTTTGAAGAGCTGTCTCAGGCCAGGCAAGCCGTCCAGAGCTGCCTGCCCTAAAGTCAGACCTGCTGTGTCCCCCACCATGGTCTTGGCCATGGCTGCCACTCAGTCTCTGAGAAGTCTGCTTTCCGTCTCCCCCGAGACCGGCAGGTCTTTGTGAGTGCACTGACAGCAGGATCATTTGGTGGAGAAGCGGCTTGCGGTACTGTTGTAACTCAGTCCTGCATTTTGTGCTTAGTCTGGTGCTCACCCTAAAGTGATTTGATCTTTCCTAACGCACTAAACTGAACCAGGCCACCGCGCTCTGGGCTTCCCTCAGCCGCCGTCAGGCCCTTTGCAATAAAGACCATGTATTTCCTTTTCTTAGTCTCAGTTTCTAATAGGCGTAATTAGACTATTTTTAATAGACTAAATTTTTAATCTTGAAAAGGTACCTGAGTCCAAATAATCAAAATGTAACTCTTTGTGGGTTTTTTTTTTTTCTTGTCTTGATTTTTTGGAAGGAACAAGAAAATGTTCACTTGGACAGCATGCAGATTTTGACTACCCAACTCTCAACAGGTGCTGATGTCTATGTTATGCGTATTTGTGCTGTGTGTGGACTTGGAGCCAGACACTGGCTTTGTAATCCCCCAGCATTTCCAAAGCGTGGCCAGGTAGCACATGTTTTAGTCTTTGCAGTCTGTGTATCATCTCTGTTGTATCTTTTTAGTTAGTTGTTTTTATCTTTTTGGTTTTTTGAGACAGGGCCTCACTATGTAGTTGAGACTGAGCTGGAACTCACTAGTAGCCCAGGCTGGTTTCGAACTCAAGAGATCCTCCTGCCTCAGCCTCCCAAGTGCTGGGATTACAGGCATGCGCCAACACTCCCTGCTTTTATCTTATTTTTATCAGTACATATTTGCGGGCCATAATGCTGACCCTTAACTGTGGGGTTTGGTACATGTACATAACACGTAACACGCCTTAATTCTGTTTATGTCCCCTGGCCCTTTGTTTTTAAAGGTGTTTTTAAAAAGCAAAGCATTCCTAGCTCAAGAGCTATACAAAGTTTGTGACCCTGTACACTCCCGCCATGCAGTCAGGGAACCCAGGTCATACTGCTGTGGGTGGGAGACTAGGACACAGAGCCCCGAGGCCACCAGGAACCGCCGAGCCCTTCTCAGCACACTTGGCATGAACAGCTCCCTCACAGTGCTGTCGGCCTTCGCCTGGCAGCAGCTTTAACCTCTCACATTTCAGTTACGTAGCGTAAGTGTGATGGCCGTGCAGTGACGATTGTAGCACAGTGCTAGCTCTGTACTAAATAGACCCAAAACACAGTGCAGCTCAAGCAGTAGCGCTTCCTTTCCCAGGTGATTCTGACAGGAAAATGGGTTGGCAGGGCGCTCACACAGGCAGTTGAGATCCAGGCCTACTGGTGACCTCTGAGAACACCTAGGCCTTCTGTCCCGACAGGAGAGCTCATCCGGCTTTCAGGTGGCCCGCATTTCTCCACTCCAGGGAGGAGGAGGAGAGTGACCCGTGGCCAGCACGTTCTGCTTCCAGTACAAGAGACGGAGGGCTGTCGGGCCACCCAGCGAACAAGCTTCACCTGCCTCCGGCTTGGTCACGCTGCTTCCACGGGATGCAGCGGGCAGTGCGTGCCCCTCATAGGTCCCAGTGCACGTGGCTGAGGGAGAGAGGAGGAGTGGGATCGGGCAGGTCTCGCGCCACACTTGCGCCTGCACGCACAGCGGGAGCTGGGCCCACAGCATCATCACCCAGAGGAGGCTGGGAGAGACCTTCCTGGAGTGAGCGGAGGGCCCAGCCTCCGCTCGGAGCGTCTCTCGCATCCCAGCTCTCTGCAGCGCCTCTCTGTCAGCCTTGGGGACCACCATGAACCAGGGTCACACAGGTGAGGCAGGGACGGGTGCTCTCATCGCCAGAAAGTCGACTCCCGCTTTGAAGGAGGAGGAACGAGACGTAGCGAGGCCGCTGGTCCGCGCCAGGGCTGACGTGCTGTGGGGCCTTGGGTGACCTCGGACTCACTGAGGGACTCCGTTCCTATTCCTGGGGCTCCTCCTGTCCCAGCAGGAGTGGTGTTGGGGACCCACCCCAGTGGGAACCGTTCCACGCTGCTCCTTACTCCAGGCTGGGGCTGCTCCGAGAAGCCCCTGTATCCTCAGAAGCTCGCGGCTCCTGTGACAACAAAGCAGGATGCTCACTGGCCTGTGCCAGGAAGGGTGCCCGGACTGCTCTTCCAGAATGTTCCAGCCCGTTCTGTGTCCTTCTGCCGCTCTCCACCCCCTGACCGTCAGGGGCTGCCTTGAGTCCTACGTTAGCTGAGGTGAGTCTTGTTTAACTGCGAAATGTTTAATGGGCCTTTGTTGCTTGATGATTTATTCTGTTGCCATAGAAACAGCTGCCTTTCTCTTCTCTCCCCTGCCTTCCTTCACTGTATCTTGCTAAGTTGCCCAGTCTTATGATCCTCCTGCCTCAGCCTCCCAAGCAGCAGGGATACGGACCTGGTTCATGACAGCGCTTAATGGACATCTGTGTGTTCAAGATGTGGGATTTGGAGAAAGCTAGAGAGCGCTGTGACTAAGGTCATTGCTTTCCTGTCGCCAACACACTGTGACTTCTTCCTTAATCTACCGTCTGTTACCGGGCAGTTTCCCCGTGTCCCCACAAGGGCCTTCATTGCACCTGCGTCCACCCTAGGGTGCCCTTTGCCACATCCCTGCCAGCAGGTAAAACTTACATAATTCGTCAGTCTGGACCCCTTCGCTCGGAAATGGGATCACAGACTGCGCGGTCTTTGGTGTCTGGCTTCTCCCGCTCCGCACAGTGGTTTCACGCCTCAGCCGTGCAGCTATATTTAGCGTGCTCCGTGCTTCACTCCTCTTAATGGCCAAATTGTTCCGCTCATGGGTAAAGCACGTCTTGTTTATCCATTCAGCCCCAGAGCTGTTCCTACTTTTTAGCTGATGTGAATCGCTGCTGTGAATGGCCCCATGAAATTTTAGTCCCACGCCGGACACTCTTCTTTGGCGATCCGGATGCCCTGGACGTTTGCTCTGCTCTTAGCTCAGCCTGCCACATTGGCAGAGAGCAGCAGTTTGGGCCAAGGTGCGAGGACGTTGGTCAGCGAGCTGTGGTTTAACCCTGCGCGCCTCAGGGTAGCTCTCAGCGGCCTCACCTACGGGAAATGGAACCGCAGTGCTGGCCGTGTCC